TTTGGAATGAAAGAGACCCTCCAAGGATTTCTCCCTATATATATTAAAGTGGAAATACCACATGATGAGAGGCAGCAGGGAATTGGTGAGATTACATTATTATACACTCTGCTAAATCATTGGCTAGGATAGACACAATATTCAAGCATGGCTCTGCATACACTAACATGTTCCTGTAGTCTTATCACCAACAGTACATGTTCAACATGGGGAAGGTTCAGCTGGATCTAAAAAAGATACTGGAACTGACTGCTGCCAGTCAGTTTTGACAATATTGGGCTAGAGAGACCAATGGTCTGACTCAGTTCAAGGTATCTTCCTTTTTTGGCTTGCAATTTAAGACTTATTAATGAAACCTCTGCTTCTGGTATATCTACCTTTAATAGAAAAAGAGAGCATGAAAGCACTGTTTTAATCAGGGTGAGGAAGAACTGGCCCTCCAGATATTGTTGCACAACTACTCCCATCATCCTTGACCATTAACCATGCTAGTTGGACTTGAGGGGGGCTGGAGTCTGACAGCGTTGGGAAGGCAGTGTCTTCTTCACCCTCTTTTAAATTAACCATAGCATCTTAAATAACTTTTCTAAAATTACAACAAAGCTGTTTTGAACAAGGAATAATTGGATATCTTCATTTCCATTCCTGTTCTTTAGGTTCACCCTGTCTTTTAGTCCTCTAGAAATCTGGTTTTTCTAGGAGAATTTCTAACATTCTGAAGTTGGAAAATTTGCAGTTTGTCACAGATTTCAGTTTATTCAGATCATTTGCATCATTTTCTAATAAGAAAGGGCGCTTCCATTACACCAAATGAACTTCTTTTCCTTCAAAATGAAATCAACAGGGATAAGCCATCTTTTTTAAAATGCATGTTTCATGTCACATTGAGTTATGCCATTTTAATGATGGGAAAATGTGTTCCCATGCATGGGGAAAGAATAATGATGCAACCATAATTAGACATAATCAGTCTGAGATTGTTCTTGTGGTGCTTTTATCAATGTGTGTGTGGGTGCACATTGTGCCAAACCAAAAAGAGAAAGGCTTGAAAGAATTGAAAACTGTAGCAAACTGGACAAGTATAGAACGCTATGCAAAATCCGGAACATAAACTGTTGAACAGGGAATGCATGAAATGCACTGGTTCCACTTTGGAAGAATAGGTGACTTGGAAATCCAAATCTGTGGGAAAATGTAGATGAGCAGAATTTCAGGCATGTACCTGTTTTAAACTCTGTAGCAGAATGAAATTGCAAGTTCTGTGGGCTTAAACAGAACTTTTACCAGCTTGGTGGTTTGAGAGTCTTACCTATGGGTCTATTAAACTCTTCTGTAAGGTTACTAAGACACTATCATCCTTATTTTCTGCAGAAAAAGAAACATTTCCCACTTTATTCAGGTTACTTATAGTCCAATTTCAAGGCGCCAGTGTTATTTGTCAATATTCAGAGAGAGTGAGAATGAAAATGGTAGTATTGAGGTAAATGAGAGGTGGAAGTAGTACCATTAAATGTGGAAGAGTTATTCCTCCCTCTTGCTGCTACTTTCCTTTTTCCTTGTATGTCTTTTAGATGGTGAGGCTGAGGGAAGGGACTGTCTTGTTTTACTGATTATATGTAAGCAGCTCTGGCACAGGACTTGCTTGAGGAACAGAATAAAAACACTTAAACATTATTTGTTTATTAATGAACAAATAATAAACCTATCATTTTCCAGTCAGCATCTTTGCCTTCAGCCTGTCTAAAAACATTCAGTGGGATTTATCACATGCTGACATGAATGAACCCTGATTAGATTATTGTAAAGTTAGACTATGTGCTTTTGTTCTTCTTCTTTCTGAATTCTGAAATTCTATAGTTTTGTTTAGACCTATGATGCATGCCATGCTTGTGTGCTGTTTTTTAGCAGTTTATACTAATTTGATGGATTATTTTTGCATCTATGGATCTTCTCTATTGTGTATGCTGCCTTGTGGGGGCCCTGAAAGGTGGCCTCTAAATACTTCCAGTAAACAATAAGCAAGCAAGTCAATTACTGTACATCAACAAGAGAGAGACAGGCAAATGTAGAACTACTAATTGGAAAACACTCTCTCCTGCTTACACTACAAACTGCTCTGAGTCTAAAAGGTGGAATTTATCTCTGCATTATTAACTAGTGATTGTGTATTTGCATTTTATGTTATATAGAATACAAATTTATTCTTATGGAAAGTACTTTTTGATTAGGAGAAGCAAAATACTGATAATGATAGACCCATGTCTAAACAAGCAACTGTTTGTTTTCTATCATTGGCCTCCATTTTGCCAAAGCATTCTTCATAAAAATCTTAAGTTCCAGCTTCCAGTCAGGCTACCTGATTGGCTGTAATTTGGTGGACTTTGCATCAAGACTCCATAATTTTTTCTGATGGTGTGCTCATGTGCCCATGCTTTCCAAATGTATTCACTCTGCTGCAAGTTAGATCTACATTTGTTTCTCAGCTATTTCTACAAATAATTCCTATAATCATTTCTTATCTCAGCAAATTTTTCCTGTGATAATAATAGTATTGCTATGTGTACCCTTTCTGAATAACATGGGCAAGCTATCCTGCCCTATCCATGCTTATCTTTCAATGGTTGAAGTCATTTAACTTCAGTTTTGACAAACATATTTCAAAACTTGACCCGCTCTGACAATGGGATATTCCTATTTCTTTCCTATTCAGTACAAAGTATTTCTCAAAGGTTGTGTTCATGCCTCAGAAGAGAACTCACACTGCACCAACCGATGCAGTAGTTTAGAGAAGTTGCTTTGGTTATTTAGCAGATTTGCGTTAAGTTACTCATTTGCTATTGGAAATAATTATATTTCCTGCCTTCTTTTTCTTGAAAGAAAAGGCATAAGAAAGCTAGGAATAAACTTTTTATGTCCACTATTTTTCTGTTCCTTTCACGCTATAACCCAAATAAGGGTTGTTCAGGTCTGTATAGTGTGCTCTTAAACTGCGTTTCTGTATCAAGAACTACAACTACGCTATTAAAGTAACAACACAAACACATTTTAGAGTGGGAATTAACATATAATTCTAGTCTGTGACTAGATCCAACTGTCAAATCAAGCAACTGACACAGCCTAGTCCAAAGATTCCATTCAGCTTAAATCAACAGTAACACTAATCAGATTATATTTCCCTTTACCATTGGGTTTTCTTTTATTTTTCCTTAAAGTACTTCTAACTTCATTCAGAAGAACTTCCAACTTGATTGACCTTTTAACGATGAGTTGGAAGCAGAAATTTCTGAATTTCATTTGGAAGCTTTGAAGTATTGCTCTTGAGGAAAGGAAGTCTTTTCAAACACATCAGGAAACATTGCAGCTACCTGTTGAGGGATTTGATGAAGAACCTGCAATTCTCCAGATGCTGTTGGAATCCAGCTCCCACCATCCACAGCCAGCATGTCCAGTGAACATGGCTAATAGGAGTCATAGGGCAAGAATTTTTGGTGGCCCATGGGTTCCCCATTCTCGACCTATGTGATGATTGATGAAATAGTTTTGAACTTACAGTTCTTAATGGCATGTTTGTTGCAATGTGACAGAAGGAACTTGGGATGTCAGTATTGCAGAATGCTTGGAAGTCTCCCTTTGTGCACTGGACAGTGGGACTCCTAATATTTCATATTGATCACTGTTCAGGTACCCCCAGCCATTTCAGTGCATTCAGATTCCTGTGGCTATTGAATATGCACCAGTGCAGTCCCAATGGCTGTTCCTTTCAATATGCCTCCACCGTGACGTACAAATCAATAGGTATGATTTACACAGGTATAATCATGCAATTGTTGACACATAACCAAGCCTGAGAACCCCCCCCCTTTTTTTTTTTTAGAAATCAGTGTGTGTGCATCCTTGAAATGTAGCGGACATTAACCAGGCACCATTCCAGAGAAAGCTAGTTGGCACTTGACAGATAACAGCAGCTCAGACAAAGGGCAATTCACACCAGCCCTCCCCATCCTCTGTGTACTAGCACCCCATACTCCCCCCCACCCTTCACGGCATCTTCTTTGGTATGCAAGTGGGAAAGATCACGCCAATGTAACTTTTTACTTCTGCACCTATTGGAAAGTATTACGTGTAACCCTTTAATGATCATTGTAAAAAAGGCCAACTGAGGACCGCTCAGGTGCGCCATCTGGAACGATTCGTTGTTAGCTGGTTATTCTCAAGAATAAATCTTTTAAAAGAAAACCTTCCCCTGTTGCGTTTTTTGAACAAACGCACACCAGGACACGGACTATTTGGTCAACAACCGTGAGTTCTCACATTCCAAATGCCTTGAGGCTTGTAAAGAAATATTTTATTTCAGATGCCAAAAAGTATTCGGAAGAGCTTGGAAATGGCTTCCTTCTCAACTGAATTGGCTTGCTCTGTCCATCGTACAAGAATCCCGTACTTACTTGATGTAAAGGAAGAGTGCTTGATGGTTTGCACATTTCAGCTCCTATCTGTATTGAGTATTATTTGCAGCGTACTCCGATTTTGTTGTTCAAGTTCCACCCCCTTCATTTGATACGCTAGATTTAAATTACTTGGAGGGCAAGTCAGAATTTAGCCCGGAGGAGGAACTGGGGCAAAGGAGAGAGAGAGAGGGGGACAAATAGTATGATCGAGGAAGTTCACTGAGCTCCCACTGTAAGGAAGTGCTCCCTGCGAGGAAACACAATGCCGAAGAGAGCTGGCTGATCCCTCCGGACTCTGCCCGGGGGCCACTGCCAGAGGCCATACGGCTGTCAAACTACCCCTGCTCCGTTCAGCATTTGCAGCTGTTTCCCAGGCAACAGGGTCTCCCCGCCCCTCTCTCCTTTAACTCGTACCTCCTCCTCTCCGCTCTCCCGTTAGCACTCGGGGCAAGATCTCGCGAGGCTTGCCAACTGGAGTGGCCGCCATATTGTGTGACACTATTTTGATTTGGACTCGGCTGGCTGAGACGCGCAGCGAGAGAAGAAGGAGGTGGAGGAGGGGGGAGGGACGGGAGCGACTGGGAAGCCGGAACGGTTCCAAACGAGGTCGGGAGCGGCGCCTGCAAGATACCCACCCGCCTACCCGAGCCCTCCCTTCCTCTCTGCCCGCCACAACAGCAGCACCAGCACGGAACCCCCCTTCCTCCCTCCCCCGGTGGCGGTGGGAGGAGGAGGCGGCAGCGGCGGCTCCGAGGTGTCCGCCTTGCCGGTTGGAGGTGGCGGCGGCGGCGGCGGCAGCTGTGGGAGGCGGAGGAGGAGCCGGTGTAGAAGAAGGGTAAGGCTACTCCCGCCGAGGCGGGCCTGATGGTGGTTTGCTGCTTAGCCTACAAGACACTCGGCCCAGAGGCCTGGGAGGGACTGGGTATCCCCCTCCCCTGGCTGGGCCCACTCCGGCCTCATTTCCCCGGGGAAGGGAAAAACTCGGAAAATCCCGAGGGTGGAAGTGGCACTGGTAGACGCTCCGTAGGGTGGCTTGCGAGCACTGTTGCTTTCGACCAGATTGGGAGGTCTGTGAGGCAAGGTGGCAGTGGTCCCATTTTATAGGTGAGAAGTTGAGGCGGAGAATGCAAACTTTGCGTTAGGTCCCCTGGTTAGTCTGTGGATGAGTTGGGATTGAACCCAGATCCAGGATTGTAAGCTGTTGGATGTAGTAATGGAACTGCTCACCGTATATGGAAGGCATGGTCTCAGACCACCGTCTGGGGAAGTCTTGGAGGAGTGGCAAATATATTTCCTTTGCAAGTTCTTGGTTGGGGGCTGTATATAACAGCTTGTGTTTCTCCTGGTCTCTCCCTCTCCAATGGGCAGTGCCCTCTTGAGTCCTAAAATGTCCGGTTTTGATAGATCTAGGTGGTTTAGCTTGGATATTTATTAAAATGTTTATATTCTACATTTTCCGTTCCATTTAAGGAACATTCAAGGTGGCAATGACTGATAATTTAGTTTAAGAATAAGATATTTAAGTAACATAGCACACCCTCTCTATTAAAGGGAAAGAAACAGTTCAGTCATAGACCAAAAGCCCTATAAAACATAATGATATTCATCAGATGCTGCAAAGTCATGAAATAGTGAGAGTATGCCAGTCTGGACACTGGAAAAGGTGCTTCATATAAGCAAGCACCATACTCCAAAGTCAGCAAAGTGATATTGAGTAGGATTTCTCCAGAAGCAGGGTTAGATTATCTGAGAGATGGTGCATCCTGTTACATATCTTAACTCAATGAAATTTTTGACTTGAGAAATAATCAGCATTTTAAATTGGACTTTTAAGGTCTCCAGAAGGAAAAGCAGCTGATGTAATAGCAGAATCTTAAAAAATTAAAATTCTTACTGCTGCATCTTCAATAGCTCACATTTCCAAGAGCCATTGAAGGGTTTGCTGCAATAATCCAATCTGTATGTGACCAGGTATAACAGTGATCAGATCAGCACTCTCCAGGAATCGAAGCTGGGCGGGGGGGGGGGGGGCATTTCCAGCTTCCATGAACAAAGCACTCCTAGATTGTGAACCTACCTCTTCAAGAGCTGGTGTGGTGAGGTGGCTAAGAGTGTGGCCTGGGATTCAAGGGATCTGGGTTCTAGTCCTCATTAAGCAGTGGAACCAACTGGGTGACTTTGGGCCAATCACAGATGCTCAGCCCAAGCTGCTTCCCAGGGTTGTTGTTGTGAAGAATAGGAGGAAGAGAATTCTATAAACCATTTTGAGTTCGTTGTAAGAAAAAAGGTGGGATAGAAATCTAATAAATAAATAATAAATAGGAGTGCAGTGCAACCAAGGATAGATTGTCTCTCTGATGATCAGCTATGTCATTTGCCCACATCCAATCCTTCCCTGCTCCTAAACACTAGTTAAAAATGTCCACTGGACTGTAATGAAAAGGAAAGTTATGGTTGGGTGTCATCAGTGTATTGATGGTCCTGAACCCCTGGGCAGTGTTTTCCCTGAAAATCTCCATAAAGTTGAGGTTGGGCAGTAGGTCCCCCATTGCTTAGACTCCAGGAAGAATTAGCAACATTATCTCCACCCTCCAGTGGTAATCCTGGGAACAGTCTTGAAGGACGCCATTATCACAGTAGTGGAAGCCACTGAGAGGTCCAGCAGAGCAAGCAAGGAAGCACTTGCCTTGTACAGTTGTGATAGTTTGTCCTTAACCTGCTGCATTCCTTATACTGAGTTCTTAAAGATAACTTCAATAACAGTAGTGCTGTAATACTGCAATTTTCTACATGTCTACTCAGAAATAATCCTTGCTGACTTCAGTGGAAATTACTTCTGAGTTAGTGAGGATGGGTTTGTAGCCTAAGTCTATGCACCAAATCCTCTTTTTTTAAAGGTAATGGTATTGAGGGAGGGAATGTTACTTAGTTCCATTATATGAAGTGCTCCATTGCATTTATACCAAATTTACTGGTGTTGTTTATGGGTGAAAAGATTTGTTGCAAATATGTGTATATTGGGTTCATGCCTATATTTCTAGATTGTAATATTTTCCTTGTTCAAGTTAATTTTAATTAGCTAAATGTGATTTCTATTGAAACAACTGGTTTGCTTCTTTTATCGTACTGCCAATTCAAGTGTATTCTTTGGAGTTCAGCAGTTGTAAAAAATCTTAAGAGTAAAGTTTTCAATCGTTAATTTTGATGAATCATAATTAAGCTGTCACTTTTTGATACAGGATGGGTAAAGTTGTGGTTGATGACGTGTGAACACTGGTTTTCTTAGGTTATATACAAATGTTTTGAAGTAATTTAAATGGGGGGTTATTTTTAAAATAAATCAGTGCATCTGTACTCTTCATGTACAGTTGCATATCTTAAAACAGTGTAAAGCAATGTTTAGACCTTGTTCTGGTCCACAGCCAGTATTGCATATAGTTTGTAAGTATGGGTGTTAATTAAGAACATAATGTGCATCATTCCTTTAGAAATAGTATCAAATTTAGAAAAGGTTGGAAGTAATACATTACCGTGTTACTGAAGTGATAGTAATCATGGGGCTTTTCACATGATATGACAGACCTCTGTGGGATATTTAACCCATCGAGAGGGTGCATGCATGACATAGGGTTGCTAATCTTTGCATAACCCACAATAGCCAGCTTCACATAATATGACAACCTCAAGTAGAGGTTGTATATGCAGTTTTTCACCCATAGTTATCATGATCCATTTTGAATTAAGGAACCCGTGACAAGTTGGAGCATGTCACCTGAACTTGGTCAGTGATTGGGACTTGCAACAAAATGTTTCAATGTGGAGTATTCAAGTTCAGCTAGCCATGTCCTCTTCCATTACATTTTTTTTCTCCCTCACAGCTTTTGATTCCTACTGAACAGGCAGTCAGGATTCAGTGGCTACTGAGCATGTTCAGGCCTCATTTGGCTGTGTTTGGGATTTGTTGATCCTTTTGTTTGTACTTCTGAAAAAAATGGGAATTCTTTTGAGCATGTTGATACTTTACTACTGTTCTCAGTGGCCCTGTTTTTAGTTGAGGTCCTATCAGTAGTCAGCATCTGACTTGGCTATTGTGAGTTCAATACTAAGACCTTGTATTTTCATAGAAGCATCAGTCTCTTCCTTGCTTTATCCTTCTGTAAAGTCAGAATTCGTTTTCACTATTTGGAAGAGATTGGATCAATTTTATTTGTGTAGAACTTATTAAATGCAAAGGATTTCAGTTTTCCATTATGAGTGGAAATTTAGTATTGTTGACCCAAGTCTGTAAAGCAGTAATTGTTGCTTCTCCTGTTTCCTGTATCTTTCTTAAACCATAGGGTAAACAAGTTGCTCTTAAACATAGCTTTCTTTAAGTTTAAGTTGCAATATAAATTTACTGTTTTTATTCATTAATGTTGCTATATGGATTGACTTGAGTATTAACAAAGGAGGGCATAGAATAAAATCCCTTTCAGCTCTAAGCAGCCATAAGTTGAGTACAGTTAAGAAATATGTGGGCTCTTATTCAGCAATACATCTGAAATATGCTTAGATCTTAATTTGAGGTTCAGAGCTTAATTTGAAGGAGTACATAGCCTTGAAAACTTTCTCTCAGACTGCATCCATTAAACCTGTGTAAACAGTAATTGCAACACTGAATTTCATCAGTATTAAATACTAATAACCAGTCCCAATAACTACATTATTTGGGGACTGAAGGAGAGAGAGTTTTTCAGATCAGACTGCAGTTTTTTGAGGCCTGTATATAATCCAACAATTTATACTTTTTTGATCTCACTGATGTCCCCTAAAGCTCTGCAATGAGGTTAATAGAGCTTAGATCTAAAAATCATCAAATTCAGCTGTTTTTCAAAGACTTAGCTATAAAACATGTGTTTTTAAATAGTGGTATCTTCTGCACTTCCTCTTTTCTATCTCTTTTAGTACTTCATCTAACACTATGTCAAATGTGCAAAATGAGGGTAAGCAACATACTCTTTTGAGAAAGAAAAACTTGAATATTAAGAACCCACAAGCTGAACAAGTAATGTAACATATTGATTTCCAGATGTATGCTGCCAGTGTTTGGGTAAGCTTTATATGCAAAGTTTTCTCTACATTGAGGGCATATTTATTTATTTTATTTATTTACATGTATTTATAGGGTTAGGGTTATGCATAAAATGTATTAACAGAATAAAACACATTAAAACCCAATGAATTAAACATGTATAAAAGCAATTAAAAAGGGCTGCAGCATGCAGGCTAATTTTTTTTTAAATCCTAACAAGATAAAGATTTTTCCTAAAAAAAAATTTCCTAAAAAGAAATGTTACATGTGTGTGTGTGAGGTGTGAGTTACTTTTGTCATAAACATGTAAATTTGTTTCTGTATGTCTTATTTCCTACATGGAAATAATATTAGCATTCTTTTTATAAATATTATTTTCTTATCTGTGAATGATTCCATGTTGCACAATGTTACCTATGAAGAAGTTATATTTGATAATTCTGTGAAGAAGCATGACGTTTAATATTAGCTATAGAGGATGCCAATTTCATGTGTTTAACAAAGTTTTAAAAAGTAGACAATATTGTGTGTACTATGTTGTCTGTTGTATAAGTCCCTAAAGTCTTTTCAGTTGAATAAAATTTTCATTATTTTCTACTTAGTTGATTAGATCAGTGATTGTCACTATTTTTTAAGCACCACCACTTGGGCGGCTTTATCAGGTTGGGGTGCATGTGTGCTCTTTTCACCCCCCCCCCCTTTGTAGGTGGTGATGCTGTTCAATACAGTCATCTGAAGGCTTTCTTCAGCCTATTATCTCCTTT